AAGTCCAAAGGCTTGTGTATTAAAGGGAAGAGGAAGCAAGACAGCAATTGTGTGGTTAATCTCAAAGTTGTCAAGTAGCTGGGAGCTATTGTGTTCAAAGGGAGGTTATCTCACCAAGGGAGGAAGAGAGAGAAGGCAATCAGTTCAAGAGAGAGCTGAGTTGGGTCTTGAGTGTCTAGACACCAAAGGAGGGAAACACCAAGTGTGAGAGAGTGTTCACAAGTGCATCAAAGTGTTGAGCAAGGGGTGAGAGAGAAAAGAGAGCTTGGGAGAGAATAGAGTTCTAAGGGGGTTTATTTGTAAACCAAAGTTGTAACTTATTCTTTCATTAATGAATTTCTCAAGGGGATCACCAAGAGGATGTAGGCAATTGCTGAACCTCTATAAATTCTTGTGTCACTTTGTGCTTGGTTGGTTTCTCAAGTGTGTGTGTGTGTGATTCATCCATCCTTGTGTGTGTCACAAAGTCCATCAACAACAAGATCATTAGGGGAGTGAGTGAAAGTGTTTGTCCATTTTCACAACAAAGCAAAACAAGACTCTATTGAGACCAGCATGAAGCTTTTCCCCATTCAGACTGTGACCTTAGACAGAGTTGCTAGGAGGGCATGGCAGCCCGTCAGAGACCAAAACATGAACCAGAGACTGCGGTGGCCGGTAGGCCCAACTTTCCAGTTCCACAGACTCATAACCTGTCGACGCCGCCATGTGGGCAGCACGATTAGCATTCCTAGACACCCATTTCCATCGAACCTCCTGAAAGTCTTGGGAAAGACGTCGAATATCTTCCAAGAGGGGCAAGATACTCCAGGCTTGATTCATAGTGCTACCATTAACTCCATCGACAAGAACTTTAGAATCAGTTTCCATCACGATATCCGCAAACCCGTATTGAGAAGCAAGATGGAGACCCTTGATCGCAGCAGCCGCTTCAGCTTGGAGGGCGGAGGTGCACCTATAGGGACAGGCCAAACCCGCGCAGAAGAGGCCATCAGAGTTCCTAATCACAGTTCCTAACCCAGCCTTGTACGAGTCCGGCTTCCATGAACCATCAAAGTTGACTTTTACAGACCCCTGCTGGGGAGGAAGCCACACAGAATCCGAAGCCAGAGTGGGGGGCGAAGGATGATGGGGAAGGGGGGGGACATTAGCTTCCAAGAATTCCTTAGCAGCACGGTCAGCTCTTGCCAACACGCCAATAGGCTCAGGAACACCTCCTTCAAAAACAGCTTTACATCGGGTCTTCCAAATCTCCCAAGTGATGAAGCTGATCAACGTGAGAGCCCAGTCCCTTTCATTTTTACTCCAACTCTGATAGCCAAAAAACTCATTGAGCCAGCAAGCAATAGTAGTAAACCTCTGGAGATCGACCTTATAGGTAAGGGGAGAAGCAAACCACACCAGCTTAGTCCAGGGACACAGAAAGATGAGGTTTTCAATGGATTCATCATATTTCTCACAAAGGCGACAGAAAGGGTCAGGAGCAATTTTCCTTTTGAAAAGGTTAAGCTTTGTAGGTAACGCATTGACCACTGTCCGCCAAAGGAAGTGTCTGATTTTAGGAAGAGTACGGATCTTCCACAGAGCTTTCCAAAAGACTAAGTAAACATGTTGACTACTTGTCATGCAAGGCTCCGAAGGCAACTAAACTTTATACTAATAATTTGTTACATTAGATCAGAGATTACGTATCATTACCTGAAAGAAACACGTAATTAAGCTCCTAATTATTAGCTAGGAAGCTTCAAGTGTAAACCCCCACCACTGACTAATGGTGCCGACCTTAATTAGTTACTTTGGAAATTTCCTTGAAATTAACCGTATGATAATACACATGCATATAAATAAATACCTCCTGTGACTTCCCTAGCTTGTGCCAATCAATCAAATCCAAGAAGTTAACATAAATTTTTTTTAAATGGAGGAGTTGCGCCAAACAGCATTTGCATATTACAAGGATGCCCCGGAGCAAATCCGGCGGTGGGTGGATGAGTTTTTCCTGGAAATGGATCATGATGGGGACGACCGAGTGAGCTTGCATGAGTTCTTGACATACATGGAGATGCATGAAGATTGTATGCATCTGAGTAACCCTAGATTCTTCGATGAGCTGAAGAAGGAAGGGAGTGAAGAGCTTGATTTCTTGGACGTGGTGACTCTCTTCTACATCGTTTATAGTGGAAAACCCTTCTGTATGGGGAATGCAAAAAATTCGTAAAGGGAGTTTATTTTACTTGTGTAAAATGCTTTGATCATGCCAGTGATGCCGCCAACACATTCAATGTTTGTACCGCTTGTTATGTCGATGGCAAGTATGTCCATGGCCACAAGAAATTCCTTGATAACTTCCTACTGCTTCAAACCAAGAGGATGGAAGCTTTGAACCAGCTGCCAGCATCAAGCATTCATGAGGTAAGTCGAGGAATACTTGCTTTTTTTCTTTTCTTTATTTGTTTTTCAATTTCTGATCAACAAAGAAGTAATTTTATAAGGGCAAGGGAAATCCAATCATATCCAATACTGTATGTTGAAATTCCTGGACTTGTTATGTGACAATCTGATTAGCATGTCGTCTCTTTCCGGTTAGAACATAACACCTTTTTTTACAAGTTTTATTTATACTTTAGATTCTATATAACATGTTATGTTTCAAATAGACGATACAGATGGCATGATTTTTTGCATCTAACTTTTCCTCCTTCGACACCGATTTCCTCTTTTGTTTTGGGACAAATTTCCTCTTTTGTTTTTCATGGAGATAATAATTATTTATGCTGAGTGATCATTAATTAGTAGAGTTAAACATTTTTCATATTATAAATTAAGGGTTCCCCATCTTTGTTCGTTGGTTGAATCTTGAATGGGGCTGACGTTCAAGTTAAACCAAACACCATCCCATTGTTGATTATATTTTGTGAATTAATTATATATATATATATATATATATTAAAACAACTTGCTCCTAATGCATGAAGTTAGTGCAGGTCATGCCAATTTTAATTTATTTGCAGCTTTATAAAATTGTTGAAGGACAGCTGGCCTTGGCGGCCTATGCCAATTATGCAATTAATTATCTTATAAAACCATCGTCTTTATGTAATGCTAGTCAAAGTCACCTGAGTCTCGCAGTACATCAGAGATGAGCAATAATTCTTCTTCCCGTAGACTCACCCATGATCCAAGCAGTTCTGGTGCATCCACTGAACTGGTTCCCGTGAATCCAAGGCCTAAAAATGTAAGTAATTCTGATCTCTTCTCTCTTTCTGACTAATAATTAGTGGACAAACCCTAGCATATTTTTTCTATTTATTTGTCCTTAATTAATTACTACTTCATCGTCAACGATTCGTGCTCATTCAGAGACCTTGCTTGCTTGGCTGAATATGTTAATTTTCAGAGGGCAGGAAGGAAAGCGTTGAAAACGATAGAAGTGCTTCTCGCCCTGGGAAATATCTTTGCTTCCACTCAGTGTACCATTATGTGATCAAGACTGAGGAGCGCTAGAGCAATCATGTGTGTGTCTGTATATATTTTATATAAAATCAAGGTTCTTGTATCCAATTATGCACTTGCATCAAACTTGTGAAATAATTTGTAGTCTTCACCTGCTGAAGCTGAACAAGGCTCACTAAAATGGAGAGAGAGAGTCCAATCACAGCGACACAGCGGCAGAGCTGGGAAATGCTGGAGTGGGGATACAAAATTGGAAACTACTTGTCTCTTTCTTAGGATAAATCACAGTCTGACATGTGTGCAAAAAACTTTCTTTTTGTAATTTTAATAAGTTATTTTTATGTATGTGTCAGACTATGATTTGTATGTAAGGAGGAATGACGCCTTATATATGGAGCCAAAGAAGTGTCCTACAAAATTTATCCAAGAGTTTCCGTTTCTTCCTTTTTTATTTTATTTTTATGATGTAGTCCGAGCTAGTTAGCCAACCAAGTACTACTTCGGTGGATGGAGACACTACAAAAAAAAGTGGCAATAGTCACCATTATTTGGTGATATTTGATGGGGTGACTAAAGCCCAACAAATGTCACCAAATAATAGTGATTATTGTCACTTTTTTTTTGTTTTTGTTTTTGTAGTGAGAGGATTTCTGCTTGAGCAAATGTTGGATTTGTTTGAGCGTGTATTATCCATTAAAATTCTATTCTAATTTCGTAAATTCTTTAGTGATTTGGCCTTATCCTATGATTTCTACACTAGCTAGCTAGGCAATAAGATCGATCAAAATTAAAGTAAACATGTATCGCACTACACTAATATTTCCACACTATTTTGTATTCTATCAAGTAGATAGGACGAACTGCAGTAAATATGTAAGTATATCATGCAAGTCATGGAAAATTTAATGAAAAGCCTCTTCATCTATCCACGCACGATTCTTGTGTTCATATTGTTGTTCGGTTCATTTTTACACATGATTTTTCATGTTATTCACCTATTATTTTGAGTTAGTTCTTGACATTTTATAGCTTTTTACTTCCTTTTTGTGTTTTCTTAGATTTTACCTTGGTTAGAATGAAAATGAGCTAAAAGTGCATTATTGGTTATAAATTCTGATTTTGTTCATTTTCGTAGGTCAACTTCTTGGCCTTGGATCAGCATGCTCCAATGGTCGGATTGTTGTGAATTAATGACTAACTCACTGCCCTTTTAAGATCTTGTTGTTGATGGACTTTTAGACAAAGAACTCAATGATGGATGAGTCTTACACACACACACAGAAATTAACCAAGCACAAATGACACAAGTGTTTATAGAGGTTCAGCAAATTGCCTACATCCTCTTTGGTGATCACCTTGAGAAATTTCACTAATGAAGATAGGTTACAACTTTGGTTTACAAAGGAAACCCCCTTAGAACACTACCCTCACAATCTGTTTCTCTCACACCCTTGCTCAACACCTTGATACACTTAGAGAGCTCTCTTGCTCTCACCCTTAGCTTTTCTGAAACTCTCACAGAAAAAACTCTTACTTCTGCTCCAGCCACTTCCTAATTATCCAACTTGTTTTCTCCTCTTGTGTTATCTTACTTCACCCCATTTCCTACACAA